GCCGAATACTTTCGCAAGGCACTGTATGTAAATTTTGTAGGGAAGAGTTGTTAGTTGTCAATGGGTAGTGATTGGTGTGGGAAATCTGGAAGAAGTGGTGCATCTGAAGTGTTCAGATGTCTTCAGTCGCTTTTCTCACAGTGAGCTTTTTAAATGCAGTGATTTATTTTAAAATCTTGTAAGTAATATACATGTATTTTTTTCATTATTTGTGTTTTTAGCTATTTATGAATTGCAGACTTTTGTTTTTGATTTCATTTATTTATTTTGTTTTTTAAATTACTTTAAATTAACAATGGTAAAAGTAAAGGTTATTTCTAGACCAAAAATTAGAACGTACAAAGAAGATGAAGCAATCTTTGCTTCCAGTACATGTTGAGACAGAACCCTACTAAAACCTCTCAAATTAAAATTTTATTTACAAATTCTTTGCATTGAATTTCATGAAAGATTTTTCACACAGTATTTTTTATTCTCATTAATGATTGACATGTGTATTAACAACCTTTGTTTTATAAATTGTGTTCCTGATTTTCATTTAACCCTCCCTATTACATCCACAGACACATCATCTTTCTTTGTCCTCCTTGCCTTGCCCCTTTGATTCATATTTCTGCACTCTCCTTCAGTCCCTCACATACCGAAGACAAGGCTACAGCAAATATGTGTGATTTTTCACTGTGGAATTCAGTGGGACTAAACTCTGCTTGTTATTTTAGTTCATAAATTCATTCACAAGTGCAGCTCCCCACTGTAACCTCATCCTTTCTTATATTTTATAGAATATTGCATTGGGTTCTTTCTGTATTTATTTTCTGTATTTGATTCTCTTTGAGTTTCTTTTACCATGTAAGGCACACCATGAAACATGCAATACAAATGAAGCATCATCATTTACATGCAGTATGTACAGTATATTGTACATGCATATTAAAGTACACATAGAATTCATATTAACGTATTTCATTCCTTACTGTTGTGTGGCAGATCAGTGAAATACTATCCTACTTAAAATTGTGTATCTTCTTATCCTGAATTCTTATCTTAGCTGTCTAAAGATATAGCCCAGATTATAGCCTTGTTTCTTACATTTTCATCAGAGCTTTCAAAAAGATTCCCATATACTTTATGTCATGAATTTCACCTGTTTCACCTTTCGAGTTTTCATCTTTCATCTTTTTCATCAATTTTGATCATCAGGATATTGAGATGGAATAGCAAGTGTTAATACAGCAAACATGATAAAACAAGAAGTACCAACTCAATCAGTCATTTGAATACTTGTGCCTTAAATACTTAAATACTTTGAATACTTGTGCCCACTAGAGTAGGATTCCTTTGCCAGCTGCAGGATTTGAACCTGCAACCTTCTAGCTACATGCACAGATCCTTAGCCACAGAGCCACCACAGACCGGAAGACACAGAGATACTCAAGCAGCAGGACTGAGAACCACAGCACTAGGATAAGTGTAAACTAGAGACTGATGGAGAGTGACTCAGGGAGCATAGCTAATCCAGCAGTCATCCTAAAGTCAAGCTAAGCTATTTGGATCTAGGCATGACAGTCCTTTTATTTGAGTGAAGTAAGGCTATTCAGACTGAGAGATGAGAAGAATGGCACAATTTGGGGTTAAAGGACTACTTGTGGTCTGTCAATATTACTTGTTCTTCCTGTCAAGAGGTTCACTAGAGACATCCTCCTTTGTTCTTGTTAGTGACAGTGTTTCCACCTGCCTGTCACAGCCCCTTTGCTGCCCTTCTCTGCCCATCTGTCAAATGGCTTTCGAAAAGCATCTCTAATAGGCATTTAAAAGAAGTGCTGAATCCTTCACAAAATGATCCTGAGATGACATCCTTATACCTTAACAATAATTCTCTCCTTCACAGCTTGTCAGTTGGCTCTTTCATTTTCCATGTTTGTTTTTTCACATCTTTCTGAAATATCTAACATGTTAGATAAAGCGAGCACATTGAATGGGTCTGTATATTGTAGCGTTTACAGGTTCTTCTCAGAACAAAGGACCAGTGGAGACGCGATTTAGGGTGGTAATTTAACAACAAGCTATACACTTATAAGACTATACAGGACACTAGAACTACTATGACATTATTTACACAGGTAGGGTCAGCCGCTGGTCATCGTGCTGACCCTTAGACTCTCCCTGGCTACAACTCCCAGCCTGCCCAACGGTACTATGAGGCACTTCCCCCTCACCACCAGGCGAGGGCGTTACAATATTTTGACATTAGCATCTTGTCAAATTGACCAGATGAGGACATCATGGAACTCCCCTGCTTCTTAAAACCATGATGATTTAAACACAGGGGAGCAAAACTGGAACTTTATAGTACAAGACCTAAACAATATAGTGAAAGAAGTTGTTAAAAGAATCGTTTAGCTCATTTTAGCTGAGACTTTCAAAAGATTTAAAAATAACAGTAAATTTATTAAATAAAATCATTAAGTTATTATTTTTCAAACCAATATAAATAAATTAAAGAATAATTCCTGCAGTTTATTATACAGTATATTTTATCAGCTTTTTGTGTTTTTAAAGCTGGTGTGTTATCAAACCTTTTAAGTGATTTTGAAATTTTGGGGTACAAAAAGTCATTTAAAGATTCTCATGTTTTCTCACTTCATTTTGTTCAGTGGGAAGACTGCTTTGCAAATGACTAAAGGTCAGTCTATTCAGTTGCCCCGGCCAGACCTACATGTACCCAGAACTCGCAGCAAGACGTATCCAAAAAGAACAGCTCAGTCTCAACAAGCAGGTGAGCAAGATTTTGTATATGAGACTGAAACCTTGTTGTCATTGTTGTAACATTTAATTAAATGAAAGTGCTGAAAAGAACATTTTGTTTTTCTTTTCTATGTGGAACAATAAGCAACTTTGAACCTTGATCTAGAAGAGAGCAGCACAAAAAGTACTGTATATTGTTATATTGTTATATTTGGCAGGTTTGGCTCTGTCTCACACTGGTTCAAGGTCATACAGGGTGTACAGAGACCTGTTTCCTGCTGATATACTTCACGACAAAAAAGAAGAAACAATAAGCACCCCTTTACATTGCTATCTTTGGTAAAAATGGTCCAAAATTATTAGTGACTAAGTTGTTTAATGTTTTTTTTAATTGTAAAAAGAAGATTCAGTTGAGTATTTTTCCAAGAGTTAAAAAAACATAGAAGTGCCTTTTTAAATGATAAAAACTAAAATTGGTGTATATCCTACACTCTGTTTTTTGTTCTAACCCACATATAAATGTATTGTGTCTTTTTGATGACATAACAAGGTATTAAGAATTAAGAGTTTAAGTTTAATGGATATGTGAAAATTTTAAATAATAATGCCAATTTTCAGTAAATTATACATATTTTGTTATTAAGGAATAGTGCTAATTATATTTTTGATTTTATGTTGATAAAGTTATTAACAGTTGGTGAAATTAAGACTGTCTTGCATGTATTTGACATTGTGTTATTTAATATTTTTCAGCAGCTTATTTGGTAAACGGGTATACAGTATATAACCAATGCACAAACCTCACCAAATGTGTCTGTTAGTTTAAAAGTAAAAGGAATGACGTTTCTGTGAACCAGAGTTGTAGCTGTTAATATAACTTTTTAGCTTGGAGAGCTACACTTTACAGGTTGTATAAAAATGTAAAAATGGCCTTTTAGACCTAACAGATGACTATCTGAATTCTTAATTACACCTGAATAGAACTGCTGTTGTTGACCTCGGTGAAACTGCATGGTGATCTTGCTTCTCCTATAAAAAGGCCCTGAAGTGTAGCACAGAATACGAATGTGTTGGCAGCACATGGCCTTCTGTATCATTCCAAAGGTGACTTTGGTATGATTGATCCCTTTTGCACTTTTGAAACCCAGATATATTTTCAGGACAAGGTCCTGTGTAATTCTGTCCCTTCCCAGTGTGGAAGAGGACATTCCTCTTGTATGATTTTTAGATTTTGTCTATTTGTGTCTCTGACAATATCCTCCCTGCTATTTTGCTATGTTTTGACAAACTTTGGAAAACATGTTGTTTGTGTGGGTAAAAATGCACAAGATAATTAAAACACATTACAAAACAAGTTGGGTCAAGAACTGTACTGTCTAGATAAATATTGAATAGGTGACAGCACTAAAACTGAGAGAATCTTCCATGACTACTGATATCCATCAGATTACAGCTGCACTGATAAAAGAGTTTACATTACTGAATTCTCTGTTCCACAAGACAGCATATCAAAAGCCAGTATTATGCTATACTGTATGTGGACTGAAGAACACATACTGTATATAGGAAGTGCTTGCATTCTTTAAACTTGCAAATGATTAAGGTGCAACAAAAATAATCTGGAATGTAGCCCATGTGCAAGGTTCCCTGGCTGTTACTATTTTAACTGTATAGCGAGCACTTTATGTGCACTGTGCACATAAATCTTCCTTTTCTTCTTATGTAAAAAATACAGTGAAATAACAGTTATTAAAATCGAACTGAATGATTCATTAAATATAACAGGTCTTTTTAACAAAAATACCAAAATACCAGAATGACTTTTTTAGCATTTTCGTTGACATTACACTTGTTAACCATTATAAATCCTCTGAAGTTTGAAGCTAACAGATGGGGCAGGAGTTCCACATGTTTTAAATAAAGTGTGGATTTAATCATCTCCCTTTTTCAAAACCAGAATACAAAAGCCTTTTGTGGAATATGTTACAGTAGTATCCTGTGGTCTCTCTGGGCTGCAGTTTGCAAGCACTATATTATTACCATTAAGTAAAATACACCATCAAGTCAGTAGTAATGAGTAAAGACTGTAAATGTATCTTGGGGATTCTGGGAAGCATAAAACAAACCTTTAACATGTTCTAGCAATTTGTTTGTCTATCCCTTGCTCTTTTGTATTATGTTAGGATAAGCATTGTTCATTTTTGCAAACACTTGTAAAAAAAACCAAGTAGTTTCTGTTTTTTTTTTTCTGTTTCATGTTTAAACAAAACAGAATGACAGAAACACATCTGTCATCTGGATCCATTTATTTATCTGCTTACTTATAAAGAGAATTAATTGTCAGTTCCCTTTCTCTCTTTAACTACGGTTTCTCCAGTGCAGCAATGTCTCCTTTCTAAGGTTATCAGTTCCTGTTATCTGGCCTTGGTTGACCTCTGCTTGCTGCTGGGAAACTCAGCTCATAAATTCACAGTAGGATTTTGTGAAGAAGGCAAGGCTCTAGGCCATATGGTGCTTTAGTTCCTGAATAATTTGTGTTCCCCCATATACAGTAGGTTTTAATAGTCTTTTTGCTTTTAAGAATTGCCTGACTAAGATTATCCTCTGATATTGTCTGTAAATGGTATTTGCACGCTAGGTGTACAGATTATATGTTGCATGTACAGGGGTACCTGTACTAATGTGTATTGGGACATAAAGAGCAGGGAAGGAGTGGCAAAAAAATATAATTTTATATACAGTAAAAAACAAAAAGTTTGTTTTTATATGAATTCAAAAAGTTTGTGGAGCCTCTGTTCATCATTCTTTTCCATTGTTTCTTCAAACCAGCATGTGTTATTTTGAAGTATATTGTGATTTTCCAGGAAGAATATTTTGTCAGTTTGAAATTAGTAGAGCTGATGATTTCATTCAAATTAAATTCTGTCAATATCAGGTATTTTCCTTCATTATTAATTACTAATTCATTACATTACATGACTATGTCTGCTGAATATAGTCTTGATAGACTGAAATCTTTGGAGTGTTTAGTCATTCTGTCTCTATATTATACATGTCCATATCTTGTTCGATTTATGTATATTTTAATTACGTTTTTTTAGTCAGACCTGTCAGTTTTGGTCATAATAATGTACAGTATATTAATAGTGCTTGGTACTATGAGGATGTGTTTCACACTCCAACATTACATATTCATTTAAATAAGGTCTGACCAATTAGGATGTGCTAAGGCTTAAAAAGACAACAGCGGTATTCATTGGGTAGAAAGTCTATATACAGATTAGGAACTCTTTTAACTCTACACATTCTGCTTTAATTTCTGCTTATTTCTAATTTCAGATTGTTATCTTTTGCAGTGAAGTTTTTGACAATTTTGTGATGTAGAAACCATTTTGAATCATTGCTTTTAATTTATATTACATGTTGTAGTAGTGTTACTCCTTCAGAACAGTCTGTTTAATCTAATTAAATCTGTTAAACTCTCAGTCTGTTAAACAATCAGTATGTTAAACAGTTTTATAAAGCAATTCAACTTTAATAGTAAAAAACACATACATTTTTCTATGTGTCCTGTTGGTATTGTTTGCATTTTGTGTAAATTATATGTATAGTATATATACAATATATGGATTGATACACAAAGTTCATAACCATATGAAAGTGCGTTTAATGAAAACTCTTTTTTTTTAGGGATAAACAATGTCAGTCGAGCAAATACAAAACCTGATAATGGTGAAACTGAAGGAACAACCAAAATTATTGCACCTTCTCCTGTGAAAAGGTAAGCCAACTTGTTGCATCTTTTAGTTCACAAATAATGGTGACCATAAGCTTGACAAAGAATATTTAAACATGGACACCTGGCTACAGCATGGAAGATAGTGCTATTACAATTTTTCAATGTGTGTTGTTTTTATTTGTTTGCTGGATATTAACTATTAATAAATGGATGAACTACAATTCATTCATTTGTGGTCCATGATTCATGGACTTGAAAGATACTGATGTGCTGAAAGATTCAACATTTAGCACACATTGATTCTGATGTTTGAATAGTGTGATGTGCATGACACAGTATATGATGATTTCACTATAGCTACTCTATACCCTGAAGCACAAGAGCTACCAGTTGGGAAATCTTAGAAAGTAGAGTTAAATGTGTTCTTCATGTTTCTTTTATTCCACAGTTCAAAAGTAACTAAAGCAGACAACACAGATGCACATCATGAGAAAACCAGTGCACCATGGGATGAAAATGGGCCCCAGAGGTAGGCTTCATTGTTGAAGCACTCCTACATATTTATCTGGCAGTTAGAAGCTTTTCATTTGGTTGCTTAAGCATGAAGACATAGTTATTTTTGCTTTTTTTAATTCTAACTTGGAAAAAAAAAGAAATTGTTTTCTACAAGTATACCATGGTAAGCATTTTTATGGTTACAAAAATACCCCATAAAGGGTTTTTATTCAGTTCTTATCTAGGAAAAAGAAATTGCTGTGCTGTCAACAAAAAAATATAAAAACACAGGGTATGAGTATACAAAAAGATAGAAGGATATGGTTTTCCATTTTTATGTATGAACATTTAAATTTACAGTATAAATCTTTGGCTTAATTAAGTACCTTTTCTTAAAGGAAAACAGAGATTATTATTATATGATAATTAAAAATATAGTTTTCATGTTATGTCATTTAGACAATAAGCTGTTTTCTTTTGTGAAGTTGCTCTGGTTTGTTTTATAGCACAGGTCTTCAGAGCTGTAGGGTCTGCTTTCCCCACACACTGATCCCTTAATTACTGTACATAACAGAATATAATACTACCTTATTCTGTCAAGACATACTATTCATGGTGTTACCCAAAGGTACCTATAAATCCTGTTGGATTAGAGGTTGTTTAAAATCAGGCTTGAAAACTATTACTTACAGCTAATAACAAATTTTATATTTATATAATATTGTAAAAACCTTCACACCTTAAGCAACTATCTAGTGCCCAGTATGTATCAAGTTTAAAAAATAAAGGAATAAAATCTGAAAATGTAAGATTGATGATTATTTATCCATATGCGATACAAGATCTTTTAGAGGAATATCTGTCCTGTATTATTTCCTCTAGTACTAATTTTGGGACCCAGGTCTTTTAAAGAGATATGAAAAAAATTCTAAGAAATATTAATGAACAAAGGTGGTGATAAATTAACATAGCTACACAGTATCAATTGTATATATATTCATATGTTGTGTTAATTTACTCCTTATCACTAAGAATTCTTATATGTCTTTGATAAATAACAATGGTGTGCTGTTCTTAAAAATAATGAATCTCCTGACTTCTTAAATTGTGTTCTTGAACACGTTAACAGTAATGATCCTTTTCTGAAGATGTGAAACATTGCTGCTGTTTAAAGCACAGATACTTAATACTCATGCAGAATAATTCATTAAGTGAAATGTTGTGTGTGGCTGTGGGCAATGAACAGAGTGATGACTGACAGCACCGCATTACCATTTCTGAACGTACTGCACTGCATTTTCAAATGTGACCTCGCCATTAAAAATTGAATACAGACAAATGTAGAGAGTATTAAAGTTGTATGAGCTCTGGAGCTGGACCTGCAGAATGCAGAGTGCAAGTGACAAACATGTACAGACTTCAGCAGCCAGAGACTTCATAATCTGTCATACACTGCTGAATACGCCCTGAGAGTTAGAAGCAGAAAAGGACCATCACTGTGGCCGACCCTTGCTGCTGGTTGGCAACAGACAGGAGAAGAAGACCAGGGGAGGCTGGTATGACACACGTGTTCAGTCCCCAAGGACTGCTGTGCCACAGATGGCAGTGGATTAGGCTGAGTTCAGTGAAATAAAGGTGACAAAGGAAAGCCACTTGAAAGTGATAAATATATAATGACCCACAACCACATCAAAGAAGATTATTATGCAATATTATTAGGCTCATGATACTCATTTACAGTTAAGAGAAACCAGTACTAGATATTAACAATGGATTTGCCATTATTGTTCATTATCAGGTAATTCTTCCAATAATAATACATTAAATTATCATTACAATGGAGTGGATTCTCTATATTATGTGATTTTGCCAGAATACAATTTTATCACAAGGCTCTAATATCCTTTGAGACTGGAATTAAGCCTAAATGTTCTGACACCACCAAGCACCCATCCTGTATAATTTTGGGAAATCTGATTAAAAGGGAAAACAAGGACATAAGAGAAGCTCAGGGAAACCTTACAGCAGTCTGCCAGGAGAACAGTTTTATTAAACAGTTGATGTACCATAGGTTATTTTGTGCTTAAATAAAATGTAACCTGACACACATGTATCTTTTCACGTTTGTTTTTAAGTGGTTTATACAATTCTTCAAATGACCGAAACAAATCACCTAAATTTCCAAACCCCAGGAGGCGAACCCCTTCAGGGGGCAGTGAGAATGAGGTGGTGCAGCCAGCCAGGCGCAGGTATGGTCAAATATATCCCCATTTGCTCTCGTTGAGCTACAGAGCAAGTCTCACTTCTTACACCTTTCTCAATCCCTGTAACCTGTTCTTTAAGAGCTGCAGTAGCACATCACAATACCTTGGAGTAATTTACTCACAAGGCTACAGTGTATACTACACAAACAATTCCCTAGGCAGTGGTTGCAAAAAAAACCTCCAAATCCAAATGTCCTGGTGAAATGTAGAAGGTGCTTGTTACTTCTGAGTATGAGTCGTGTCAAGCCACAAGCATCAGAGCACTAGAGAGTGATGGTGGCTAATAAAGAAATTAGACATGACATTGCTTTCATCTAACAGCATTGCTGTTTTTTCAATTGTTATCCTGTCTATGTAAATCACAATCATTTATTAATAATTGATAATAATGCAAATGAATAATTCAGAAGGCGGCACGGTGGCGCAGAGGTAGCATTGCAGCACTGGGGCCCCTGGGTTCAGTTTCCACACTGTTATCTGTGTGGAGTTTGGATGTTCCCCCCCCAGTTTCCTTCCATAGTCCAAAGACATACTGGTATTGTAGGTTAATTGGCTTCTGGGAAACCTGGCCCTGAAGTGAGTGTGTGTTTGTGCTTTGTATGTCTGGCATCCAGTGTGTATCCCACCTTGTGACTTTTCTTTGATGGGACAGTCTCCAGCTCCCCCCGTGATCCTGTATTGGATAAAATGGTCAGAAAATGGAAAGATAAATTGAATGACTCATAATTCAGATTACCTAAATGTTGAAAAGTAACCAAAGGGGCTGTGATTGTTTTACCACCTTGAATTATAACATATACAAGAACTGAATAACCTAAGATAATCAACAATAATCTTTACATTTCAGACGATTTTCAGATAGTTTTCAGACAAAAAATAAAGTGGAAGTTCCCTTTTCATGTTTGGCTGTTATACTGTACTATAATTTCACCATCTAGTGGTGTCTCAGTAGAATGCACTGTTGAGTTTTTGAAAAACAAAGTAGAAACTCATACAGTACCTAGAAGTGCTGTATGAGTAATTTTAAAGTAATAACATGCTCTGGAACTGAAGAGTTCTAAAAGGAAGTTAACAAAACTCAGAACTTCCAGGACTTTTATCAAATGAAAGACTATCATGTTAAAAAATAGGTAAATCAAAAATAGATACAACTAAAGAAATGTAAAGGAATAGCTCTGTTTGTTCTGAAAAGCAATGATATCATACCAGATTTTGAGTATCTGGTGGGTCCATAGGCTGAGTTTTATAAGTGGAAATGTACTTCAGCAGGCTTAGAAATTGAGACCATATATGCAATTATATAACATTTATTACAGGGTTATTATATGTTTTCGTAGAAATAATTACTTGATTCTGTAATGTCATTGCTCCTAATGAGCCATGTAGTGGGGCTTCTGACATACTACACTGAACTACTGAACTCCATATGTAAAGTGCTTTGAGATCCTATGGAATAATCCATCCATTTTCTAACCATTTCATTCAATTTAGGGTCGTGGGTAAGTGGGAAACACCCTGGGTGGGATGCCACTCCATCACAGAGCAGACAGACACAAACATAGACAGGCACACAATCATGCCATTTTTCCCAGAAGATAGTTTAATTCAATTCAGAATACTTTCTTCATCCTCAGGAGGGCAATCGAAGGAAGTAATGCGCTTAAAGATGAACTTGAAGCTGACAGCCCTTTTCCTCCTAGCCAACAGGAATCAAACCCGCACAGGGAATTCCCAATAGATTTCAAGTCCATCACCTTAACAACTCAGCCACAACTACATTTTTAATTAACTTACTTGTCTTTGGACTGTGGGAGGAAGCCAGAGCACCTGGATGAAACCCGCACCAACATGGGAAGAACATACAAACTCCACAGAGATAGTACCCCAGGTCTGAGATTGAACCCACGGCCCCAGCAATGTGAGGCGTCAATGCTAACCACTGTGCCACTGTGCTGCTACTGTACACATGCAAGGAATATTTATATATAATGGTTTTTTAACAGACAAAAAACATGAACCCTCTTCATTGCTCACTGATTTATTTAGTTGAATAATTTTTAAATGTTACAGAGTATTGATTTATCCTGTAGAATAGAATAAAAATGTTTATAACCAGCAATCTAGTTAAGAAAAAGCTTGCTTTAATGATCTGATTTCCTCTCACTGCAAAATGTATTGCATTATAATAAAGAAAACTGATAAATCTCCTTTTAGATATTATTAAAATCATAAGTACTGTGAATTCAAAATATAACAGCAATAAAATTACATTTTGTACCATATTGCATTAATATTATTATGAAATTTGTTCTTTTATTCAAAGTGTATTTCATATTACATAACAAAAATAATCCGATCCTATAAATGCAAATTTGGTAGTTTAAACCTAATAACTATAATTTAAAACCTTTATAAGCACATTGTAAATTCATTTTGAAGTGCAACCTTGCAGACATTATTCTAATTTAATGCAGTCCTGACAGCAATTGCTTTTTCATAAGGAATCTTCTCTGGTTTGTGCTTCTGGCTATATAAAGAAATTCAATTAGATGCTGCAGCATCTCAGTAGGATAATCCTAGAAAGTAACATACTGAATATATAAATAAGTACCAGTAACCAGAAGTACTAGTCCATACCCTGAAATCAGATGTAAAAAATATTTTTTCTTTGCTTTTGTCTCTTAGGAAAGGTCAGAATGATGATCCAGATTCAAAACAACAGCGAAGAAGGTAGGTTAACAGTTTGATGAGCATATACGTATCCTAATAATTTATCAACTGTGAATACATAAAAAATGCATATTATGATTTAGATTACACATTACATAAGAAGGCAAATGAAAAGTTAACCCAAATGTAACATGCCCTCCAGATTTATTCATGCCGCTTCTGAATAAAAAACAGCATTTAAAAGTTTATGGATAATGTGTTTTGCTTTAAATATTTAAATATTGAAAAACCTGGAATCTTAATAACATTGCACAAAGCCATATTTGACATAATTATTTAAAGTACAGGGAGCATGAAAGTCATATTTTTTCACACTCTTGAAGTAAGTAATTTGTAAATACTCCTATGGCAGAGATTACACTGACAAGCTATCTTCTGTAGTGTGTCAGGTGCTTCTGGCTCTTCAGACAGGGGATTTTCCACCACTGCTGCAGCACAATTGGGGTCCTTCAGACTGTTGGGTTTCCATTTGTGAGCTGTCTTCTTAGGGTCAAGCAACATTAATTGGATTGGGGTCTGCAGGCTAGTCAAGAAAATTAATTTTGTGTGAGGTCAATTATTTGTTAATTTGGATATAATATATAAATTACATCATTATCATGCTAAAATGTTGATTTTAACACAAGCTTGAGGTTTCTCAGCAATTGAACCAAAATGTCCAGTTAATTATTGGAGTTCATGTTTCCCCTTACATGCAACACAGAATATGTAGATACAAAACAACTATAAAACAAAATAGACCACCTGCCACATTTGTGCAACAGGTGTTTCACCTTTTTATGGCTAACATAATGCTGATGATCATGTACAAAATACTGTTTTTGTTTTGTCTGAACATAAGACAAGGTACTGTGTGTTACAATGCAGCAGGGTGCTTCAGACAGCAGTGGAGAAGCACAGGCTGGATCCTACTGGAGAAGGCTGTAGAGCAGCTGTGTGCTACAGGCACCTGCGGAGCATTACTAGTCAGAACCAAAGTGCTCGAACTTGAGAGTCCTCAGCTGTTTTCTGAGAGAGCTAAGAGGAATTCAGCAGAAGCTTCCTGGGGGTTGCTGAAGGAACAGCAAGGGGAGTGTGACTGGGGAGTGTGAAGATGCCAGGTTTAGCTCTGAAAAAAAAGCTAGCTGCTATTTAGAGGCAACTTGAGGAACTGGAAATGTTCACAGGCTCCGTGACTCAGGGGATGGAGTCCATGTCAGGAACTGGAAGTAAAGCAGGCACTCAAAGGCAAAAAAAGTTAAGATGCAGAGAGCTAATACGCTAAAGGAGCTCAATGTCAGAGCACTTCCAGAGTGGTTTCTTGGGAAAAAATAGTGATATGGTGAATGAGAACATTTGGTATCAGATTGGTAGGCAGAGGGCAATGCCCACAGGTGTCTGAACCAAGTCCTCAGCCCTATAGGGAAACCACAATCACTTGTGGTAATGTCATGATCTCCTGGGGACACTGAGGGCTGTGAGCTGCTGCCTTCTCGGGTTTGACACCATGTCATCCAGATGTAATTAAGCAAATACACATTGCCTCGATTTGTGGTTCATCCTGGTAACAGGAAGTATTACCACTTTAAAAAAATGCCTTAAATGTCTTATTAATGAACACTGCAGTAGAAAGTGGTAGACTCAGCTTTGTGAGCATTATTTTATAGCCATCTTTCATCATCTGTAGATCGCTGACCATATACCTGCCGTCTTCAGAGAGCTGACTTAATCATGCATAATCATGATGATACATTCCACAAGTGAATATCTTCCATGGGTTACCTCCTTTAATACGGAATAACCAATAGAAAGAGGTTTCTGTTTCCCTTACAAAGAGAAGTCTTTTACTATAGATTTGTTATTTTCATTGGATTTTATATAAACGGATACTTAGGGATGTGAACAAATGGTCTTTTTGGTCTTTTCTGAAATTTCTGCTCTGTGCAATGCCATTACAGTTGAACATTTTTAGATTTTTTTAGCCCGGTCTGTAACGGTCTGTTGTATGTTATTTTTGTTCCCATTTTCACCAGGGGCATATATTAATTATGGAGGGCACATTAATGTAATTATTTTTTTTTATATGCCAACATTCAACAACTAATGAAGAGAAACCAAAAGAAATCCTTGTTGCAGATATTCTACAAGAAACAAAACCATGCTGAATCGGGATGTCAGAACAATAAGGAATACATTAATAACACATAACAAAGAATATAAAAATACTAAATAGAAAGTGCAATGCTTTGTTTTCATAATGAACTACAGCATAATAATAAATGTCCCATAACCCAAACAAATAATTAATATCTCAATTTAGTAATTAAACAGTAGGAACCTTTTGTTTGATAACTCCACATTCACAAGCATCTGAGGCAGTGGTATAAATGTGCATTGATTTTCCTAAATCTTGAGCTGATGCATCTATTTCTAGGTCATCTTAACGGAGTCATCCCTTTGATTAGCAAGCACTTGCATCTTAGGATAGAATTTAGAAGTCAACAGACAAAAGGGAATACTTTTCAGGGCCAAATGTGTAGTACCCTTTCCTCACAACAGATGGCCAATTCATTACTCCAAGAAAAAAAATATGTGTATATCAAAACCCGACAGCACTCTCTAAATTAATAAACATTCACATGCCCATTTTTGTCTTGGATTCCTCTCCCCCATATTCCTGTCAATCTATTACACTAGAGCCAATAAGATTTGATAGATTCAGAACCTTGTCGAAGTATATCAGCTCAGGACTCAGTTATGCAGGTCCACTGGCAAAATAAACCTTAAGCATATATGAGGGATGCTATTTTGCATTAATATTCATATTGATTTACCTGGGAGAGAGAAGTACAAATGCTTTAAGGCACATGTTCCGACGTGTACTTTATCTTCCTTGTACAAACAGATTCAAAATAATGAGGTAAAACGGGTATTGTTTTCAAAGTCATTTAAAATACCAGCTGCATTAATTTTGAAAAGAATTACTGCAGTTAAATTTGAGTAGTGCAGGGTTAGAGCAGTTTCACTTAACTACTCCTTTCCTTGAATCCCCTGAGGTCTTCATGTAGTTTGTGGTTAAATATGTAACCTCATTAGTCATAGTAGTAATTGTGAATGAAGCCTCTGACAGACATGAACACAAATGTTATAAAATTGACCTCAGACTGAATAATCTGAACAAACTTAATTGCTCCACTTTTAGAGGTTACAGAGAGCATTGCAGTAGACTGCAGAGACCTGCAGAAAAATATCCTGGAAGATGTGAATAAAGATTTTGCACGTTTTAGATGAAGTTGGGTTTTTTTAATGTAAAATGAGGAGTTAAAGTAGGAGCTGCCAGATAAATAGGTGATGCCTTAAAACAAACACTGTCTTGTGACAAGAAATCAAATTCACATACAAAAACTATGACTTTGGCTTAATTATCAAGACCACATCTGATATTTACCCTGCTTCTTGAGAACAAGTGGCTCTGGTGAAGCATCGGCTCCTGTTTCTCCTCAGATCACGTTCCCGTGGAAACACCAGCAGTGGCAGTGAGTCAGAAAATTCCAACAGGGAACACAGAAAAAAACGAAACAGGTACTGTAGGTCATACTCAGCTATCACCTTGGATAAATACACCCAAACCTTTTTTTTTTTCAAAAACTGGATTCCCAGTTTTTACTTATCTGGATTCTACCAAGTCAATAGTTCTGGGGAGCTAATAAAGGTTCTGCAGATAAAAGACATGGCAGAACATGGTTGGGGATAGGAAAACTTTTAACAGCATCTGCATCAGTGTTTCTCTCATTCCTGCTTGTCTTAGTTGCCAGTTTAAGTGGACATCACTTCTTTTTCCTTCTCTGTTTCGCTCATGAGTTTAAAGAAATGATTGTGTTGTAACAATAATAACCTTTCATAATAGATCACAAACCCCTTTATAATAAAATAGTAAAACAAAAGAGACCGGCACACACAAATGAATAGAGTAAATTAAACTTTCATAATTGGAGTATAAAAGTGTGCTTTAAGACAGAACTTGAAAGTGCTGACAGACGTGAAAGCCCCAAATATTGGCTGTGAGATCATTCCACTGCCTTGGGGCGAAAGAACAAAAAGCATAGTCTTCTAGAGTTCAGAGCTTCATTTTGAAAACTGAAAAAAGGCCTAAGTCCAAAGACTGTAAATTACATGAAGGTTCAGTATATATAGGGGGTAACAACTAGACTGCTCTAGTCCTCATTGGTAAAAAGCTATATTTAGAATCTTATTCTGAAATACACAGGGAACCAGTGCAAGGCAGCCAAAACTATATGTGCTCAAATTTGAGTTCTGGTTAGAATCTGAGAAACTAAGTTCGTGTGCATGTTGCAACCTGTTAAGAATATGTTTGAATGCCCCAGTAAGTGTGTTACAGTCATCAAGCCAGGTATTGACAAAATCATGCATTAGGTTTTCTGCATTGATGTGAAAGGATAAGAACTTCACAATACTGCAAACCAAAGTGCAAGACTTGAATCAATAATGATATCAAGATTCTTGACCTAAGTATGCTACTCATACTATCTGTCATGTTTCAGATGTAAACATTTTTGGCATCCATTTTTAATGTTACAGTATGTAAGTAGTGTGGTAAAGCAAATGAGATTTGTCACAATAAACATTAAAATTGATGCTGTACCTTTGAAGAAGCTCATCCAATGGCAACAAATAGATTACAAAGAATTGGACCAAGAACGAGGCCTTGTAAGACAGCACTTGTGGCACACTTTGTAGAAGAATAACAACTGATGATTTGAACAAATTACTTTCTATTATTTAGATAAGATTGAAACCACAACAAAACAATTCTTGTAAAATACCGTCAACACTATCTATTAAAATTGGTATAATCAATAATATTGAAAACACTACTATGTTCAATGCGACTAAAAATAAAAATACAGAGTCAGCAGTCACAAGAAGTTCATTAACTAGAACCTTTACAAGAATTGCTTCTGTACTATTCTTCAATCTGAACCCAGATGGATAAGATCATACATCTTATTTGGAGACAAGTTAGCTTTAAACTGAGAAGAAACCATTCCCAACATAAAATCTGACATAGTTATGGCCATGAATGAATTCTTGGTAGTGTCCTTTATTTGAATTAACTAATCGTTTTCAAAATCAAACTTGTTTGATCAAATAGTCGTCAAATTTAAAATGTAAAGGGATAAAGGTTATGTACATTTCCTCCTCATTTGAGATTTTAATACGTGCCTTTAAAAGATAAACAATGGTGTATATTTGTGTAATAACTTTCTTCATAAAAAGTAACTTAAATCATTTAATCTGAAATAGAACCTATATCTCAAATTGCAAAATGCTCAGATTGGAGTAATGTCATTTGTCAAACTAAGAATAAACTGCTAGTTTCTTTAAATATGACAGTAAAAAGCAATATTTAGTGAAACATTTTTAGATTCAAAATATTTTCTTGCAATACTGTTCGTCCAAAGGAAAAACAACCAGGGAGAGGTCAAAGGGCATAATACCAGAGTAGCTGAAAGGCATTTTGGTCCAACTTCTGTTTTGTAATGTAAGAGTGAATATTTATGATAGGTAATTACCATTAGCTGCTGAAATACAGTAAGGTAAGATCAGGCTGCAAGGTGCAACTACGTTTTAGATGTAAGCTTTAAAAAAATGTAAAAAGCTTTGGCTATCGATGAGAAAAAGAGTTTAAAATGGTTTTCAAACATACAGGAAAAGCTGCAATCTTGGTTGACACAAATGTAATATTTGCCCCAGATTAAATGACTTAACATTAAATCCCAGTATACCTTTATAATATGAAAATGTCAGGCTGTTCCATCTTTGAGTGGAAGCAGATGCAAAATTGTGAAGTACCATAACAGTCTTTAACTTCAAACCAGTCTTCTACTACTTAGAAGCCCAAGAAGCAAATGAATGAAATAAAAAAAAATTCAATATTATTTTTTTATTTTGTGAAGAAACAACACTGTACAAAGTCCCATACAAAACCATGACTAAAAGTAGAAGAAACCAAAATCAGTTTAACCCCACTCACCTCATTGCACCTACTGTAGCTTCTTTCAGTTTGACTGGGTGAGTTGTCTGACAGGTCTCGGCAGGAGAATGAGATGGTGGATTCTGCCCCTCAGTGGGAAGCAGTGCTTCGACGGCAGAAGGAGAGATCCCAGAATGACCCAAACTACAGGCGCTCCAGACACCGCTCCAGATCGTAAGTGCTTTCATCCATCAAAACAACTCGGCAAGCGGGCCTCACTGGTGAAACAAGCGTTTATATCTCGCCACTTCATTCTTGCCCTTGATGAGCCATTTTACGTGCTCAGTACATATTAGTTTGTGCAAATTTTCTGTTCTCACCACAACAAGGAAAGGCAGAACCATAAATTGTTAATTAAACTTATCAAATTATTATCGTTATGGCATCAGACATGATGCAATTCTCCAATGGTTAAGAGTGTATCTTAGCCATAGTGATCATTTGTCCAGGGTTCTCCAAAATGTTAGGGGTTTCTGGGGTCTGAGCAGAGAGGAACATTACTTTGAGGAAGGGAAATAAACAGAATTAGACAAAAAGATCTAATTATTCTGTAGAAACATCTAGACGGAGACTTTGTTATTGGTTTTGCAAACCAGTTGGTTACTGCTGTCTTTGTTATCACAAAATAACTTAAACTGTATATTTTTAAATGTATTTTACATTTGCATTTCTAAAAGAACAGTAAAATAACACCAGTATTTTCTCCTTACCCTTTCAGTCAAAATAAATCCATAATATCAATGTATTGCTTAAATCTGGTTTTAAAAATATTTTGGCAGTTTTCCTAACAGCCTGGCTAAGCTTTTATAGTAATTGTTTTTAATGTTGACCTGCTGTTGGCTTTAATTCTGGGAACCAATTAATAAAATGAAAATGGTAGGGGCTTTTAGCCTGATGCTTAATGTTGACTTCAGTGTACTATTCACTATGACAGATATAAAAAGAGATTTTATCATACATGCAGGGAATGTGCATAGAATGTTCATCTGAAAATATTTCTATCAGAATTGTTTAATCATAATCTTGGAAAGAAATATACAAATCATCTCAAAGTTTCGATTGCTTGACATATAAAATGTCGGCAGCATTTAAAAGCCATTGTTTTCCCTCAGCACTTGTTCAATCCTATTTTAATTAGTACAAGACCTTTACAGGAGAAGAAAGAATTTCCATAAGGTCCTTCAGTTCTGTAATTAAAATTCTTAAGATATTGAAAAGCACATTCCACTTTTTATTTGTAGATCACTTAATGTCATAAATAATAGTGGACCCTTCTCACTAGAAAAATACAGTAGAATACCATAGCCTAATAGGGGGAATCCACACAGCGTGTAAAAATTATGTAGTATCTCCCATATTCTAATAGCTAAGTATGTGCATAAGTAATGTGTAGCAAATAAAATCTGTGCATATAACCACCACAGATGAAACAGTTCAGGGTTCCCAGACAACAAGGATACAATGAAGTGTTGGAACAGAGTAACCCAGAGTACCGCTTAATACTGAGCTTGCCCAGTTTCAAGTTGAAATTGAAACCCATATTTTCCCAGTGTTTACAGGACATTAAGTACAGTATGGCGGTGGGTATTTCTATTTGCTGTTGGTATTTCAGATGCTAAGAAGAGAAACCATAAATTACAAACAAAGGTTTAACAAATTAAAATTAAAATGGAAACTAAATGATGCAGTGTCATCACCCCAGTAGCAGGGCACATTGTATAACATGAAGCAATAGCATTTTATGTGATAGTTTGATACATAACTAATAATCCTAAGCAGGAGACTTGAGTGTATAAGAAGTAGTTTGTTCTAAGACGCAAATCGTCTTCACTCAGCATAAAGCAAAGTGATCGAGAACATCTAAGAAATATTTCAGTCTAATAGCTCTCTCTGCTTATTTTGTATTACCCATTCTTTCAGCAATGAGTAACTGCTGAAATATTTACATTTCAAAGGCATTTTGCATCCTTACTTCTTAATATAATGATCCAATTTTGATTTTTATTTCATTGCACTTTAATGCTTATTCTGCATTCACTGATTTATGTTTAAAAGACAGTTTAAATCATTTTAATCCCTTACATTGCATTAGATTTGTCACAATAATGCATTACATTTTAGGTATATGGTAGCTTACTTCAGTATAACTAGTACATTCCCACTTCATTTGTACATGCATGTGTACCACATAAGAACAGTACTATATATACAGGTCTACTGGAAGATGCTGTGTATGAAATTGACATTTACCTATTTATTTATCTCTCCTTTTCATCTATTATATAAATTGTATAAAGATGATAATGTCTTCCCTGACCAAAATATTTGACAAATACACACTATTTAACAGCAATATACACAAGGAGGCAAACTAAAAATAAAATATATATATATAATGGTCATCAGAAATATTTTCTAGTTCTGTTCTTCTACTGTATGCGCTCATCTCCTGGTTCTGTGACATGTACATCCTTCGTCCATGAACTTATCAAGCTTCTCAATCTTGCCAGGTGCAGAGAAACACATTGAATTTAACTCTTTAGTTAATACTTTTCACATATGACTAGTTTCTGTGGAAAATATTTGGTGGTGTCCTTTACATGTACTAGCAGTCATTAGCATCATTATTCATCATGTTCATTTACACTTTCCAGGTCACTGGGTCACTCTCTATTCCTCACCATACTCTATGTGAAAACTTTCACCCACTGCTGTTCTCTGTTTAGAACCGTACCCTATGACTCCTCCCATGGCTTTTCATACCACTTCTACGCAGCTGATGCTCAGACCTTCTTCCCCCTTCCGCCGTTGTCTCTTGGCCATCTCCTCCTGGATGCAATTTCATTATCAGAGATGGAATCTCTATAAGCCTAAACACCTTTCCTCCTCTTCCTCGACCTTTCCAACTCTTTCCCTCTTGACTCCAACACCCTCTCCCTCAATCCTCTGCCAAGAATCTGTCCTCACTCACTTACACAGCTTCAAATTCATGCTGCTCTTCCGCCTGGACTATTGGAGCTCCCTCCTGGCTGGCATCCCAGTCAGCACTATTCATCCTTTCCAACTAATTCAGAATTCAGCTGTTCGCCAAGCCTTTCCTCTGCATTGCTCCAGTCCCTCAATTAGCTCCCTATAGCTGCACACATCCTTTTGAAAGCACTCCTCCTAACCTACTGCTTTGTTAACCACTCCGTCCCAGTCTATCTCCAATCTCTCACAGTACTCTGTCTTCCTTCTCCACCACTCATTGTGAACATCAGTTTCACTCTTCTCTGCACAGGCCTTATGCTTTTAATGTGTGCCTTCCACACTGGTTTGTTTTTATTGTCCTTTGGATTTTTACTTTCTTCTTTGTATTCACTTTGTTTTATTGTATGTTTTGTAAGTTGCTCAGAATGAAGTTAGGTGGTAATTATTCCGTGTGTAAGGTAAGGAAATAGTACTACTGGAGGAGCACACAAATAAGGTAAGGGCTCTTGCAACACAGAACACATTACCACTGTTGAGTAAATGAGGGCTTTTGTGGCATAAGTCGTATGCTTCATACTGTATTTTTCTTTCCCAAAAGCACATTTTATGTTGTAAACTTATTAAGCACCTAAATCATATCATGAAAATTTATTTAAGGCAGTATAACACATATTAGGCAGTTTTTTAAGTGGTATTCCAATTTATACTCTTTATTACCTTCTAATAAACATCTGTTTTTCAGTTTAAAATACTTTCTTATTATTAACTATTCAAACTTAATATTTTTTATTAATCTTTAACTGAAAATGCAATTTTGTTGAAGAATTGTGGAGAGTATAGCTTTATATGCAGTAAAAAGAGAAGGAAAATGGCTATTTAAAAGTTTGCATTTATTTAGCTTAACAGCATAACACTCTAATACTATATTATATTTTTCTAATTTAACTCAGTTATTATTTAATCATTGATTTAATCATATAATTCATTTTGAAAAGAGTGAAAGTGTGTCATTTGAAAAATAATTGCTATTTTTAAAAAGCAATCCCATCGTGTGATTAAAATTCGAATGACTCACCCTACAAACATATTTTGCATTGAATAGTCAACTGTGAGAGAGGTTTTCTATTTAAAGGAGGTTCCTGTGGAGGAATCACTCATGGCTTTGCAATAGAGTGAATTGACTCACCAGGGAATCTCAGCAAGCAAAAAATATCCAATCTGTTTCATAAATGTTACAGCCAGATTTGACATTTAAAGGAAATGATTGGCGGATAATCAATTCATTTTGTAAGACCCAGTGTGTGAAGAAATCTAGGCTTAGATTGGCTTTGGAAGCTCTCTCACCGAGGGATTCTTTTTTTTATCACAAACTAGGAAAGGAGGAGACAAACAAACATATGAGGAAAAAAAACTACACACTCGAAGCGCATTAGATCAAAATGGAAAAGGACTTGAAAACAATTAGAATCTTTTAAAGCCCTCAAGAGGGTGTTAGCTTTGGGTAAATGTGCCAACTAATACATGCACATATAAACAGACTTTAAGGATGGACAGTATTGCTGCCTCAGTGCTGGGGTCCTGGGTTCAATTCCTGGGGTGCTATCTGTATGGAGTTTGTATGTTCTCCCCAGGTTTGTGTGGGCTTTCTCTGGTTCCTTCAGTTTTCTCTCACAGTTTAAAGACATACTGGTAGGTTAATTGGCTTTTAGGACAATTGGCACTGGTGCGAGTGTGTGTGAGTCTGTTTGTGTGTGCCCTGTGATGGACTGGTATCCCATTCAGGGTATATTCTGCTTTGAGTCCGTTGCTTGCTGGGATAAGCTGTAAAACGCTGACAGAAATCCTGTGGCCATTGCATAGATTTTGCACATGAAACACTCACAATGACAGATATTACAGTGTAACATTTTTAAGAGTAAATAAAGTAATTGTATTTTCTTTTCAAGGTCTAATTTTGAGTTCTTAGAATGTTTTTGCCAAAATGAAAAGCCTAAAACTAGGAAGCGTCTATTAAATGGTATGAAACACCTTAAACCGTACATTTTAAAAACCCTTATGCTTAAAGTTAATTTTATCAACAGAATAAAATGGCTACATTCTACATGGTTCAGAATACTTTTGCAAGGCACTATATTGATTTTCCATGTTTGTCTATAATATGTCTCAACTAATGAAGCGTTCTCCAATGTCACTCAGGCATCTGAGGTATTGTAATATTTCCCCAAGCATTAAAGCATTAAGGCATTAAAGAATTAGATAATTGCTGATTTACAGAATCTGATTGCATTGTAAAAAAATCAATTCTGGTTCATTTTGCTACCATTTCAGCGCTCTCATCATGAATTGCTTCAGGAACCTCAGTAGCATGATCTGTTTCTTACAGGAGAAGCCCAGATGTTCAGGCTAAAGAGCAACTTTGGAAGCACATCCAGTAAGTGGCAAAAAGCCTTCTCTTAATGGACAGAAAAGAGGGAATAATATAAAATAGGTAATTGCAGATCTTGCAATGACTAGTCATGATTACCAGATCCATCACCAAAAAAATATTCACATTTTGTTTCTTTGGATAGTTATATACAATATATTCTATTAAGTATATATTTAAAGAAGAAACACCAATTTGTGATGATGTTAATTACATTATTGTACCCCAGATATAATATAGGAAAGGATCTATGAAATCAACTTAATTTTGGAGTTGTTTTTTGAGAATACATTATATGTAGACTAACATAGCAACATAAAACGGCAGCACACAAAGAACAGCAGTCAGAAAAAGAGGCTAATTAAACTTTTACCTAATTTGTTTCTGTTGGTATAGATCATAGAAACATGTACTAACTACTTAACATTTATTTCTAGGAAAGAGCTTGTTGATCCCTCTGGTTTGACTGAAGAGCAACTAAAAGAGATTCCATATAAAAAAGTAGAGTAAGTGAAATATAACCTTTTGTTGCATTAGAAATTATGTTTACTCTTGGAATATTAATGTAGATGAAAGGGATAGTACTATAATTTAAAAGAATACAATCACTTAAATGAAAATGATCTTATTGTAATCTTTTCAGTCTTGCAGATTGTTTTCTAAAAAGTCTTACATTTATCTGAAAATACTGATTACAAAGTAAATTTTAACTTTGCCTTATGAAGCTTTCATTAACTTCTTAAATTTAGACAAATTTATCTGAAAAATACAATTTTCATTAAATTGTAGTTTTAGAGCCATTTCCTTAAAAGTGTAGTTTCTTTTTTTAGAGGGCATACCTTACTCTACATCTTTGAAATAACCCAGTACGTGTGCATTTGTCTACTCATTAAGAAACAGGCCTACTGTACATAATGTTATCATAACTCAATGTAAAGCCATTTTCTTCCTCCTTAAGAACTCAAGGAGACCCTATCCGAATACGACATTCACACTCACCAAGAAGCTTTCGCCAGTACAGACGATCCCAGTGTTCTGATGGAGAAAGATCTGTGCTTTCAGAAGTAAAGTAAGCAATTCTTTTTTAAAAATGTAAGGGGGTCACAAATAAGTTTGAAAAATTCCAGCTTATCAAACATGAATCTTTTAAAATGTATTGCATACTTGTGTGAATGAGATGATTTAAAACATGTATTGTAAAGGATGGCACTGTACATCCCAAACAAGCTGCCCTCTAGAGTTACTAGTTAGATGCACAGCGCCTAACCCCAGATCTCAGGAATTCTGCTATGCTAAAATTCTCTTCCTCATCAGCTCCAGAACTGACCTTGTGCCTCCCCTGCCTGTGACTCGCACAGCTGACTCTCAGGGCTCCAGTGCTCATCCCTCTCAGCAGGTCAGCATTTGTTTTATCTAGTGCTTAGCTGTCTGTACTAATGATGCACACCTGTTGTTTTCAGAGTGAAAAAAAAAATCTTCTTTTAAAAGGTATTGGCAAAAAGCTACAGCTAAGTAAAACATTGTTAAATCTAATTCCTGCGCTTTGAAGGATTGTAAGGATTATACCCATTCATCATTCAACAAAGAAATACTCAATAGACCTTTTTTTTTACCTTATTGAAACTTTCCCCACAACCCTAACAAGGACATGCAAACTGAAAATGGATGGTTGCACATATTGATGATAATTTGTAATTCTGATGCTTTTATCCAAAATTGTATTCATTTATACAACCAGGCATTTTACTGGAACAACCTTAGTAAGATAGCTTGCTCACTGGTGCACCTAATATATGGAACCACAAACCAGCTCCAGAGATCCAATCTCTACTGCACATTGCCGCTTTTCTATATTAAGGAGATATACACAAAACCTCTCCTGTAAAATATGTGGGTCATTTCTAGTGAATTCACACAGGATTCACTTAGAAATCCTTCCTCTTGCATCTCAAATTTGCACATATCAGACTAATGCAGCTGAATTGAATTTTATAAACCATTAAAAAGCACATTATTACCAATTTATCCAGTGACAATTATGTAAATTAACTATGTCAGTTTTATTTCAGTTTAATCTTTTGTCATGTTGTCTCAATTCATTGTATCTAAATCTATATTCAACATTATTTTCAGAAGAAAAATGGATCCAAAGACAATCTTTCAGAAGTCACCGACCAGGATGTGAAATGCAGTACAAAAGTGAAGACCATTCATACTGCCAGACAAAAAGCTGAGACATGACCCAGCTCTTTACTTGAGAAACATTTGTCAACACAAAAGCCTGATTTTGCTTGAAACCAGAAATGTGAATGTGCAGATTCCGTGTTACGAAGGAAACAAAATAATGGAAAAACAACTGACAATTACATGCGTACATTGCAGTGCTACTTTCCTTCAGTGAACTGTTACTGTGTACATTTTAGATTATGCATGACCATACACTGGATTACTCAACATGACTCCAGATAGACATTTCAATGTATGTTTGTCTGCTTCAACATTTTCCAATCTAAGGGACAATTTTATGTTGCCATTACCTCTAAGCTATTTGACCTCCATTTTATACAGTATTAAAATGTGTGTAGGCGACATGATAAATGTAGACGTATAGCCAGGCTATCATCAGTTGAATTATTTTTTATTCATCATGTATCTATGCTGCTGTACTTTTTGCACAAATGTAGTTATTTTATTCACCTGTTTACAATCATGTTTTCATCTGATGGCTTAGTACAATACAAAAATTAGATCATAATAAATGCATCAGTTGCCAAAAGTCTTTCTGGTCATATCCTGTTTTTGTCTAATAAGATACAATGTACCATAAGTTTTGGCACAGAATGTAGTCACAGGACTGAAACCTTTATAGGTCTTCAAGCTTTCCTTTCAAACACTAGCAAACCATAAAAGGCAGAGCTGATTTAGTCTAAAGATGTGTTATATCAAGGGTCTGTAACCTTGCCCCAAGGGTTCTTGAGTGTCTTCTGATTTTCATTTCAGATGAGCTCTGAATGACTTCATTATAATACATTTAGAAACCTGATTTGGTAGCAGCAGTTTTAACTGCAAAAAAAGTTATGCTTAATTACAAATAGACAATGAAACAATATCACAAGAACAGCAATTCCTGTGGTACCAAATATCTTCAGACCTCAATTATATATAATCTTGGGAAAAAACACCTGAAGGATAAGAGGACCACAAACCCAATGAAGAATTATAACTGGAACAAACTACCTAGACATACTGCTGAACTAGATTCTCTGGGATCTTTCAAAAAAGATCTAGGTAAGATAAAGGATCAATATGGCACTTATAGTCAATGGCAGGACAAATTTTCTTCCCATTTGCAATATTGTTTGACTTATTACTTCCTACATATTTCCCTTACAACCAACATAGGCTAAATTCATGGTAGTTGTATTTAACTATAAAGCCTGGTTTAACTACTGGCTCTTATAAACCAAAACAATAGCCTCAATTTTAACAAAGCATGTTCCTGTTAACGCTTTTATATGTTGGGTTTATGATTCTGATCTATACAAATAAGCATCTCTTTCTTGAACTTACAGTGGCTGTGCAAATGCATATTTAAATTCACAAAATACTGATAAATGAACATTTTTAAATCATATTAACAAAACATTTACAATGTGACATCTGTGACGGTTAATAGGCACAGACTGACTCAAATGCTAAGAATTACTAATAACACTGAACATGAACTTCAGTGTGATGGGAGTTCTTAGCTTCTTTTGTAGCAGTCAGAAATCGGGTGGTGTGAACTTTCTCCAATTTCACTGGTCAAGCCTGTACAAAAACAAATGTGACATTTCAAGTACAATAATAACAACAAAATTACATTTCTTGAACTCTAAGTAAAAACAATGATGTATTTAGATTACTGATTTAAGTGGTACTTGTTTTCTTTTTCAATGAAACTAAACCCAAGTGTAAATGTTTAATGGCTTTCTCCAGAAAAGAAATCTGCATTTTTTCTCCAGAAATTTCTGCATTTGTTGACTGGCCATATGAACCAAGAAAAACAAATGAAAGATGCAGTTCAGAACTATTCATAAATGAATGAAAGTGATATGCAACCTATATTAAACAATGTTAAACTATAGCCCTTAGAAATCTTAATTTTGTATTACTTATTTTATCTGAATATTTCCTGAAATGCATCTTCCAGTATAATAAAATTAAAATTGTTATTAATTTGTTTAAAAATTAAACAAGAAATTAAGGTGCCAACAAAGAAGAAACTTTCTGTAACACAAATCGTACAAGAACACTAATTTGATGTACGCAAGAAAAGTTTTACAGATATACTGATATATAATTAACGATTTCCGATTTTTACCACTATATCAAATTATAATAAAAACTATAAGCTTAACTCCTTCACAAACTATTCCTACACTAGATAAAACACTTCTGGAACTTGTAAACATTTTATAAGACTCTATAACAAGTTAAATTTAAAAGGGAAAAAACATTTTTCACTGTACTTGCTGTCAACTTAACACAAGGTAGCACAGGCAGCATCTTGTTAAGGTCAACACAAGAGTCAATGTATGCCTTTTTTGACACCACATTCATCTGTTCAAAAAGCAATGAATGGGCAACACAAAAAGGCAAATTTGAGTTAAAGGAGAGAAATGGATTTACCAACACGGTGTACTCTTTTTTGGAATTTACCAGCAAACTGGCATCCTCTTGTGAAGAGACTTCAGATTTCTGAAAAAAAATCTGAAAAAAATAAATCCAAGTTAATACACTTTAATTGCAATGTAGCAGTGTTCTTCTAGGTAAAATAAAAAAAGGTTATCAAAAATTAATAATTTGCTACAAAATTCATTTATTAGACTTGAATCCACAGTAGTTGGAAAAAAAAAACTGCCAACAGCCTTTAAAGCATTACCATAACAGGATCTTAGTTTTACTTCTCATTCAAATAAAGAAGCATTGGAGGTTTCAGAGTTTGTTTAGCATAGCATAGCAAACAAACTACCCAGTCAGACCCCACTCCTTGAGATATATTGCAAAACAAATGGCTGGATCAGATCACAATATCAATAAGGTATTAGCCAACCAACCACTAGAGACCAAGCTGCATCCTTCTTTATAAACTTGTTTGCCAAACACTGTTGATATGATTCCCTTGACACCTACCAAAACTTTAAAGTTGATAACTGAATTACTGGTTAGTTTAACAGGTTATTTTCTGTAGATTCATTCTGCAGGTTACATTGTAACTGTATATGCCAACCTCTGTGGTTACATAAAGGTTACATTATGACTTTCTTAGCAATTAACACATATTGAACATTACCATTCATGTCACTTCCGTTATTTCACCCTTATTTTTCTTAGCTATGTCACCAAGTGAAAAGGGTGGGACAGGAGAACTAAAATGCAAGGTCACCAGAGTTTACTGTCCTTTTAATGATTGATAGGCATGTGTGCTAATCACAGAGCAGACTGTAGTAGCAGCTAGCAGTTAATGAGGTAGAGAAAGGAAACCTACCCCTTATATAGTGGGAGAGAAATGATGTACCTATTCACTATAATTAGTATAACTCCAAACATACACAAAGAAAATGCCAAAAAGACCTGAATTTTGAAATTGTCTTAAAACCTGTAGTTATCATATAATAATGTCTACACAATTTTAGAATATGCATTCTATAATACTCAAGCATAAACCGATGAACATTGTGAACAACTACTAATTATAATAAAACTGACTTACTGTGAGACCCAGTCCTGAAGTAACTTTGGCAACATCAACAGGTACAGTGATCTCCACACTTCAATTCAGGTCTGTTAAAAGATGTTTGTGATGCTTCCTAGAAAGTGACAACCAAATCAAGCTCAATCCTACAAAGCAGTTTGCTGATGTTTAGAAAAAGCTTTCAAGGTAAATGGAGCTAGGAAACAAACTAGCCCACAATGGATTTCAAGGCCTTACTAAAATGGCACAAGTTTGCCTTTTCAAAAGAAATAAAAAATAAAATGAGAAAAGACAGAGACTAGATCCATTTAGACATTTCATGCTTGTTGTAATTCGGATTAAATTGTCTTAATGCTGTAATCCTCATACATCATTAAAAGCCTTCACAAAGAAATCACGGAGAACATAATTAGGGATGGTTGCTACTTCTGCCAAATCAAAGATTTTAAAGTTTTAATTAAATGTTGCTAGTAATACAAGCAGTAATTCAGAGAAGCAGCATAACACATTACATTTTCAAGGATATACACTAAACAAAAAAAAAGTTTCATATTTTGACTGTTGAATGTTTTATGGTTGTATATTGTGGCCAGCTAAGATCACTGGATGAACACTTGCCAAAATATAGAGTATGTAACAAAACCCTTTATAATCTTCTGTATATTTCTTAAAATAATTTGGATGAAAATCCTTACATAGGGAAGCAGTATTACTGTTCATAAACCCACTATATATGAAATAAAAAAAAATAGTAAATTCAGTATCACGTGATCTGTTTGTATTGTTAGGAAAAAGAACTTATCATAAAAATTCCATACAACCTTATAATCAACAGCCAAAGATGATTAATGGAAAATTACCGGATATAGCAATATATGTAAGCAAATTCAAAAGTAAAAAAGCAGAAAACAAAAAAATCTAAAACTTAGTCAGACCACAAAAAAAATAAATATGTATGTTATGCTTCACTCCTTCGCAACCTAATCTTACACAGGAGGAAAAAAAAGATCTGCTAGTTTTAGCATTTAAAAAGTGCTTGGATTTTTTATAGATTAATATTCTTAGAAGACGTTAAAACCATTCTCACTGTACTTGCTGTTAACTTATCACAAGATAGCACAGGCAGCGTCTTGTTAAGGTCAACACAAGAATCAATGTATGCCTTTTTTGACACCACATTCATCTGTTCAAAAAGCAATGAATGGGCAACACAAAAAGGCAAATTTGAGTTAAAGCAGAGAAATGGATGTATCTAACACTAATGAATTTATGTATTTATTTTGGGGAATTTACCAGCAAACCAGCATCCTGTTATGCTGATGCTTAAAAGAGACTTCGGATTTCACCAACATTAAATCTGAAACAAAATGAAAATTCAAGTCAATGCACTACAATCACATATGAGGAAAGTACTGTTGTTCCAGCTAAAGTAAAAATCCCAGGTTATCAATACGCTATAGAACGATAGATCATTTGAGTACAATCCAAAGAGGCGGAAAACAAAATAAACAGTGTCAACAGAGTCTATTAAAGGGACCTTGGGTTTATATCCAAATGCTGAATGAATGAGAAAAAAGTGCTTGAAATTTAAACCACAGATTAAATGCAAGTTTCTAATTAGAACCATGGTCTTCATCTTCCCGTTTGCCATTGATGTTAGTGCTTCAGTATCCCATTTCTAGATTATTGTACTTGCTAGGAACATTTACACAGGGAACACAGTTTGTGCCCTTAAAGTAAGCCCGTGCAAGAATTAATGTGTGCCTTGTCTGACACCTCATTCATCTGGAGTGGGCAATGAATGGGCAACACAAAGGCAAAAGATGGACAAATATAGAGTTTTTCAGGTGTCAAGTATATGTCCTTCTCAACAAGATATATCAGATAAATGATGGATTTGTTTTTAAATCATTTTATCACACATCTCATTCTGTAACTCTTTCAGATGAAAAGACTTAAGAAAGCTAGTTATCTGATGATCATATACCTACAGTATTTTTTAGTAATACAGTACAGTAATTAAAAGCTAATGATTTTTATATATGCATTTCCTTTTAGTTTGCTTAATGAAATAACTACACAGCATGTGACTTAAATATATTGATTACCATCTGAAGAGTGACAGTTTTACATTGGTCCTTATTTTAAATCTCCTAGCCATGAAACGTATCTTTATCTTTTAACAGGAATTTAAAAAGACTACAACAGAAAAACATAAGAAACCATAATTAATCTAAAGCAATGTTCATACTTCTCCATTCACTCAATGATGTATATCTTTCTGCACCTCCCCTGGAATTTACTGTCTTAATCCCCATCTCTTTACCCATTTTTCACCACCCCTCAACCGACCATGTAAACCAATGTCTCACATTGCTGTGCTCTCCCCCATTCCCCACATAAAAAAGCAGCTACAGAGCCAAAATCATACTTTTGGATGTGGAATTAACATCTACTTGCTTTACAGCTTCCTATTCTAACATATATAGTAGTGCACGCATGTTGTTGTATTTTGGTTAAAACCTAAGAAATCTTTCAGCTTCTGTGGTGCATGATTTCAAACTGCAGAGTGTGATAAACTAAAACATTTAATTTTAAGTGCTTAGAATTCAACAACATGCTTCTCCAACACATTGCCAACAAATACAGGTGATTTAATATTGTGAGATAAAACTATATATAATGTATATATGTCAATATTATTCCCCCCACTATACGTACATAATTATAAAACTTTTTTTATACTCGCATAAACTAAATCTTTGCTATTCAGGTGACTTTAAATTAATCTTTTAATCCACATTTAAGCTTCTTACAATAATAAATAACTAGCTTTGGTTCACAAAGACTGTAAACAAACTTCTCTTTGATTCGAATGTAGAACCCCACCTGTTCAGGTGACCCGAGACCAGTGTGGCTCGACCAGACTCCATTGTGCAAATACCGCCTTCTTGACCACGTGGCGATCGCAAGCGGGACACATGATGGACGTTTCGTGTAAAACTGAAAACAGACATTTTCCTTTTTTTTTTACTGGTACCAGGAATGATCACTTAAAAGGATGAGAGCAGCATTGCGAATACAATAAACAGCATCCCATTTCAGCATACATATCTGTGCGAGTGCTCGCATGTAAACTACTAATTTAGATAAAGTATTTCAGGTGGGTAGCTGCGTCAGCATGCGTAGGCTGCAAAGGAACAAGTAATAGGTTTATTCCATGCTGAAAAAAAGAAGAAAGAGAACACAACGTTTCGGCCGTGGAGCCTTGACACCTGAAGAAGGCTCCACGGCCGAAACGTTGTGTTCTCTTTCTTCTTTTTTTCAGCATGGAATAAACCTATTACTTGTTCCTAATTTAGATAAATTAGAGCGATATCTTAAGAATACACACAACACAATCAAAATCGTATGCAATCGTTCATATTTTTAATGAATACGTCGGTTGGTACAAAACCTTACCATCGACATTAGTCTTATATAATTCGACCAGGACGCCGTAAATCCCCAGCCCAAATTCCCCCTGGTCTTTACTTATCATGGCCTCCACGATTACTCTGTTCTCCTCCCCACTGATAGCTGATGTGTGGTTAGCGTACTGGCACACTATGGCTGCTGTCGTACCATGCAGGTGGAAGCTGCACAGTGGTGTATTAACTATACCAGCGCTTTGATTACAGTTTCCACATAAGCTCTATGTAGTGTAAATATTAATTTTACTTATGAACTAGGGAAGCTCGACCACAACAAGGGCAAAGAAGGCGAAACACTTGAGGTTACAACATTTTCACTTTCCATACATAAGGCTGCCCTAAAATCCTCAGGCAATCATTAAATGCTTATATACTAACTTTATAACACGAATATATTAAAGCGTCAAGCTTCCTAAAACATGTGGTCAGAGGTGCTGCATAGATACCGTGCCACGTGGAATGCTCAACAGACCGCGGACCAATTAAAATAATTGACTGAAGGTCTGAACTGCAGATAATCGAAGCCATATTACATTATTTGTCTTAATTCTTATCAACGTGGGAGTCAAGCCTTCAAACTTTCTAAAAACATATATACTCGTGTACCAGTAAGAAAAGCATTCTATAACAAACTTTTTTCGACCACTTGGCAATTAACGCACATATTTTCCTCTTGCCTTTTACAAGTAACCCCATGCAAGTATTAGCTTATTTTTAAATGATATAAGACAGAACGTCCGACAGCCACCTCACCTCATTCAAACGCGTCTTCCAACCAAAGAGAGAGCCCTGGCGGATGTGGCGTACTAAAAGTGTGCGCGTATTGGCTACATCACGTCCGCTCCGTTATTCTCAAATGTCCGTCACTCAGAGCATTCCACGTATAATAGTTCCTAGTTTGATATTTTATTTTACTAGAGACATTTACCTGTTGTTTACGGCAAAAAAATAGTTGGTCAGTTAGATATTTTCTGATATAGTTAAAAAATTCTAAAACAAGTAAGTAATACGGTTTTGTACTTTACGGGTTTTATACTTTGACAAAGTTTGCCTACAAACCTTTGCCTACAAGAATAATAAAAAGTACACAATGAGTGAAAACAGCATAATTACGCAATTACAATAAGGGCTTTGGAATACAGCAGAAAAGCAAGAAGGGGAAAGTAGAATAGTACGTCAGACAGGTACTGAGTTGCCAAGACTTACATTGCTGAGTTGCATTACAGGTGAGCATGAGGATTTTGAAGTTCACAATAACTCTGTATGAAGACAGTACTAAGATTCCAGGATAGGAATAATGTGATCAAATTCCAAACACAGTCTCACGATGAGAAAATAAGATGTCATGGTTAACAGTGTCAAAATCAGCACTGGAGTCCGGGAGAATAAGGATATAAAGACAATCAGAATCAGATGCCAAAAGAAGATCATTAGTGACTATAACCAGGGCAGTTTCCGTGCTGTGTATTTGTCTAAAAGGTTCGAAGAGGTTATTTTCCAAATTGTTTTGCAGGAAAGGGTAGGTTGGATATAGGGCAAAACTTGTTTAGGTTGTCCAGAAACCTTGTTTTTTTGGCACATGTGTAACTACAGCTGTTTTATAGGCCAATGGTACCACATCAGTGCTCAAGGACTAGTTTATTACATTGAAGGAAACAGGGCAGAGTAGAGAAACAGGACTGAAATAAAGCAGAAGGAATTGGATCTAATAGACAGGTGGTGGATTTCATATGCAGCACACAGTGTCAAGTGGAGATAAGCTAGAGAGAAGGAGACCAGCATAATTATGCAATCAGGGAGGAGTTGTGGTTGTAACATGCACGGTGGAGAGAATGTGATGCCAGATGTTGTCAGTGTTGGAGCTAAAAACTCTAAGAATGTGTTGCAAAGTTTGGATGAGGCAGGCAGTATTGTGGGGGCAGTTTAGCTTTAGCAGTCTGTTGGTGGTAGAGAATATATATGTAAGATTGTTATGGTTGTTCTCAATGATCAATGAAAGGGAGAAGTAGCTGGATCTAGCAGACAGATATTATATCCTTGTATTCAGTCAAGTAATCCTTCCAAGACTGAAAGTGTACAGTATTTGAGGTCAAAAAGACACAACCTAAGTTCTAGTTTGCAGGAGCCTTCATTGAGAGCAGCTGGTCAGTGTACCAATGGGGGAAAAAAATAAAGGAGATGGTTTTAAGAGGAGCTATGGTGTCAAGAGAGATAGGTATAAAACAATTGCACTGAATTATACTGTATTTCGATGAGTATTTATTGTATTGGCTGATGTATTGATGTTGTCAGAGAGCTTATCCTTTATTGTTCAGCAGTGACACTTGTTTATTAGGGAGACATATTTACTAGGTCATGTTAAATAAATGTGGTCATTACTAGTGCATGTCTATGGAATTTAATTTACATTGGCCCAACTGTATGAAAACAAAACTTATACAGTAGTTCCCTTCTAAGTAATTCTTATGTAAGAAACCAAGCAATACCTGCTTTGAAAATGTGGCAGGTTTATGAAAGACAGTACAGAGGTACACAAGGATGTCACTGTAATATTTAAAATATAAGAGCACAGGGTAACGGTGTCAGTACAGTGTTGAGAATTTGTTAGGTCTCTGAACTACTAACCAGAAGATCAAGATGTCACGATTGTAATCCCTCCCCCTTAAGGGTGCTCCAGCTTTTTCACATTTTAGTTGATTTTCTGCACCTTCCTCCTGTCCAGCCCCTCCTTAAAAGCCTATTCTGGGCTCTGCATTGGAAGACAGACACCCGGAGGCCCGCCTACCACCAAGTCGACCTACGCCCGCGGCTTGAGGGCATAGGCTTCATATCGGCATCCTGACCCAGCCGAGTCCAGGACTTGGAGCATCTGGTCCCGTTACCCCTTTTTATCTCCCCGTCCCTTCACTGGATCTCTCTCCGGTTTTTAACTTTTGTCGTGTTGTCATCTATATTGGACTATTGGACTTAGCCCCGGCTTTTCCCCCTGGACTCCCTCGGACTTGATCATCTGGACCATGCCCCCCCACACACCAGTGCACTGTCATCACGCCCCCCTGTTCGTCAACCTGGCCATTTCCTTGTCGTCTCCTCCCTGTGTCTGTTTCACTCCCTTCCAGATTCTACTGTCTGCATAGGATCCTGAAAAACGCTTAGTAACACAAGAGTTCCTAATTCATTTGAAGACAATGATGCTACATCCTTAATCTTAAACTAGGAACATCACCCACATTGCCTCAAGAGAAATCCAGAGGTATAAATGACCAAAGATCCGTACACAAAAATAGGTGATTTTAATCTCTGGAAGTTACTTAGCAGAAAAGTATTAAACAAATTAATGACAGAATGTAAATGGAAAAAAATCCTACCCGTATGATGAGGTGTAGTATGAATTGTTTTTTTAACTGTTTTAAGTATTATCCTTAATCTTTTAAGGTATTAATAGATAGATAGATCCTTTATTGATCCCGTGAGGGAAATTGCAGTGCAACAGCAGCTTAACACAGTCAACACAGCACAGTGTAATAAAATAATACAATAATACAATACATACGATACAATCAGTACAGTCAGTGAGAAGTGCACTAAGAAGAGTTACTCACAGTCCAGAATATACAAAGAACAAACCAGAACAGTACACAACAAGTTGAATTGCACAAAATAAATATAAACATAGATATAAATATAAATGTATTGCACAAGTCCCTGGCATATATTGCACAAAAACAGTTGTAAATGGGAAAGCCAGATGTAGCAGAGAGTTTACTGTTTAGTCCAAAAACATGTCAATGTTGCCCCTGCTCAGAAACAAAGTGGATGCATTGTACAGTCTAATGGCAGAAGGCAAGAATGACCTCCTGTACGCTCGCTGTTGTACCGTGGTTGGATCAGCCTATTGCTGAACGTGCTCTTCATTTTCACAAGCTTGTCATAGAGGGGATGGGAGATGTTGTCCATGATGGCCTCTAGTTTGGACAACAGTCTCCTCTCAGCCTCTACCTCCAGGGGGTAAAGGTCAGACCCAATGACAGAGTTTGTTCTTCTGATGAGCCTGTTCAGCCTGTTAGCATCCCCTGCTCTAATCCCAGAGCCCCAGCATACCACTGCATAGAAAATGGTGCTCGCCACAACCGACTGATAGAACATATGTAGTATCTTACTACATAAATTAAAGGACCTGAGCCTCCTCAAGAAGTAAAGTCAGCTCTGACCCTTTTTGTAGATGGCCTCAGTGTTCTTAGACCATTTCAGTCTATCGTTGATGTCGACCCTTTTCCTCCTGAAAATCATCGTACTGGGTAATATGTACTAATACTAATAATTAGTACTAGTACTAAAGTGGATAGTACTAATCATAGTCTTTGTAATCAAGTAGAAATACTTTCCCATAATCATGTGTACCATTCATTGAACATATTTATAAACTTTTCCTATCTCAGTTTTCACTACAGTCATATGCATTTATATCATATGTCAAGTACACACAACATCCAAATGAAATTATCCTAAATTGGATGCCATCTAATTTCTAGAGCTAGAGTGATGCCTTTGGGAGTCAGGTGGCTCCATATTTTAACAGTTTGGGCTGACCATGAATTTAGAAAAAGGCACCTCAATGTGATTAGAAAGCAGAAGGACTTTATTGCTGGTAGTGAGCCATGATTTAAGTAGTATTCTAGCTCATTCCCATCTTAAAATGACATCTGAGGGAAGGTACTCTTCAAAAACTCTACTGTTGCAGGGTTATAAAATCCCAGAGCATGCAGGCTGGAATGTTTACTGGCTTTCATTAAAACTAAAGTTCCAAAACTCCATTTATCCAGGAATTCTTTCCTGGATAATTGTGAACCACTAATTACTTACACAAAGAGACAGAGCTCAATTCTTAATTTATATGTTAATAAATTAACAACCAATACAGGCTGCCTGAACAGTTTGACACTAAGTTAATGAATTGTTCTAAGCAGTTATATAAACTGCTTCCCAAAGACCTAGACTTTCCCACATCAGAAGAAGTTGTACTTCTGAGTAATCTGAGCAATGATATGGAGTGCCAGAGTTTACAATGGGTGATTCCTATATCCCCATGATAACGCTGAATATGTATTGGTTTGAAGAATTCTGATCTGGTATAAAAGTTTTTAAATTGGATCTAACAGATGCAGTAAATAAGGTTGAATAATTTCTCTGAATAATCTCTCCAAATAATTATTTTCACCACTGCAAATCCTTCTAAAAAACAGAACTTTTGGATTAAAACAGAGAAATTGTAAAGGACAAAAACAGACTAGATGCTGGAACTGCAGGCAGCTTTGAAATTATCCAAGCATATCTTAAATTAACTGTATAAACATTGTGTCCTCCAAGTCAATTAAAAAAAGCAAGCACAGAGTTGTTTGCCCAATTTATGCTCAGGAACACTTTACGATATACAGGTCTACGGAGAACAAAATGGTGCTCAGGTGGCCATCCAGATTTCACCATGGTGTAGTTGCTTTGTTACTAGAATGATACATACCAGTTAATTGGATACATATTTTAAGAATAGCATCTAGCATTACAAGGCGATTTTGCCAACCTTTGTCTTCTTTGAAGTACAATAAAAAGCATACGTATTGGGACAGTGAAGTAAAATTTGTAATTTTTGCTATATATTTATGAAATTTGTATTTCAGATCAAAAGATTAATACAGTATGAGGCAAAAGTATAGAATGTG